CGCATAGCAATCGGCAGGCTTCTGGTGGCAACCCCGCGGAACATACCAGCAAAGCTCCTCGTTACCCAGTTGGCAGACTTTGTGTAAACAAATAAGAATAGAAGCTTCTAATTGAACTTTAGCCGCTTTTTTTCCTTCCGACACTTCAAAACTACGTATAGACGTGTTTGCATAACTACTCATTTGATGTATAATCGATCGTTTGCTAGCTTGAGCATTACTTAAGGGCTTCAAATGGCACGTCTATTTGTTCGGCGAGTGTTTGTATTTGTAGATAAGGCTCCGTTTCCATGTGATGCTGGGGTGTAGCCGGTAATCGATTTGTGAGCTTTGCTCACCTTGCAGATAAACTGCTTATTTTGCTCTTCACATTTTGTTTCAGCTTCACACCATCCATGTGTTTTCTCGCATCTCGTTCACAGATTCTCTCATTCATCAATAAAAATCATAGGCGTGGCGGTAATGTGAAAGTGCCGGCTTCTATATCACAAGGGCTGGTGATCATTTTTGCAGCGCAAGCGTCTTCTACCTCTCCACAACGCGAGTGAGCAGGCTTATTTAAATACTTATGACACACCTCTTTCGCGGGGTCATGCCTTCGAATCACTTGCTTTCTCTTCTGTCCATTCACTCGTATCTTTTCGAAGATTCGCAGGAATTTGGTGTGAGTTTTGGACCCTGTATTTTTGCGAGGTCGCAACGAAAGAGCGGTTGTAATCATTGATGCATACGCATGGTGACGATAGTGTGATATTAAGACGCGTTGTTGTTTTTCCGCGAACTAATGCGAATAGTTTCGTTCATATTCAATTCGTTCGTGGTTTCCGACGTGTCTTTATAAGTTTTTAATAGTGGCAATGCTTTTCATCTCCAATATTCCAGGTACAACCTACGGGGCATGAGAACAGTGGATTTGGAATAGTGTGTGACCGGTATTCTGCGATCACTCCGTGTACGATAGTGTCATCTAGTCTGTGTGCGTGTGCGTGGTGTGCTGCCTCCAGGATAAAGGAGTTGGTCTCCTATAAGAAGGTTTGTGAAGTTCATCGAAAATTACTATTCATTACATACTTTTTTATACTTTTTAATAAGCGTGGGTATGGCACACTAGAGAGCAATGGCTCATGGAGTGGAAGTTGACCGCATTTTACTTTCTAGCATATTCTCAGGATTGGTAAATTTGGGGAACCGTAGATTGAGAGCATCACGCAACTCACCTTGAGGGTTCTTGCGGAACTTACGGGGAAATAACTGGTATAAAGCTTTGAAGTGAAACTCTTTCTCCTCGTCATAAACAATGTTTTAATAAGCTAAGTGGAAAAATGATTTCATCCGCTGCCTCAGCAGTTCTATGTATTTTCCCTCAAATTTGAGGCTTTTCGGATCGACTAAATCTTTGTTTAGCAAATCATGTTAAGTATGGCCGCGTAGCGCTCGTTCTCACTATATGTCGTTTTCGCAGTGGATTCATTTTCAATTTTTTTTTATCAGTAAACAGTTTAACTCAGTGACGAGCGTTCTGCTGACGATTCGTTCTTATTTGACTAAACACAACGTGTCTTTCCTATCCATATAAACCGTTTACTAAGATTCGAGCGCGTATAGAGAAAGCTAATTGTTTTGAACAGCCCGGAGGAAATCAATCGCGTGACAAAAGGTGTTGCCCCAATCAGTGAGTCATGGGCATGAATATGTCCCATCCACCTACGATTGTTTTCTTCGATCTTAACCAAAAGTGCCACAGAAAATTATGATTCACTTTATAGGTTCACTATGGGCGAGTATGGAGCGTCGCTGGAGGAGCTTCGCGCCCTCATGGAGTACAGGTGTGTCAATAGTTACGATTTGACTACACCATGAGCCATTTGTCTTTAACGCGGTATCGTTATTCTGGGGTCATTATAACGTTCAGGGTTAACATAACCTTTTTTGCCCTTCACCGACGTAGATCATTCAACGTTCACCGTTTCCTTGTTCCCTTACGGGAAAATAATCGTTTGAAGTAGCGTTGCTCTAAAAATAAACTTTATCCAGTTCCGGCTCTATCGAGACTGTGCTGTAATTTTTTTCTTTTATGAAACACCTCCGAAAATTCCTTCTTATCCACATCGAAGACTTTATTGCCATGTTTTAGTTCTTGTTTATGCTTTCATGGCTGCCGTTCCCATCAGGAACTTTTCAGCCTATTGATTTTTTTCCCTTCCACTCCATCTGGGTTCTCTCCGTCTCTCTTCGAATACTCGTAATTTCTGACCAGATTTCTTATCAATTGGACATATCAGAAATGCTGTTATGTAGCTGTTAAAGTCTGCGTTATCATATCGAAAAGCTTGATCCAAGTTTCATTTGTTTCTCTTCAAAGAACCTCAGTCAGTGTAAACCTCTACATGCTCGCTTGCATTACATCGCGACAAGCCCATCGGCGTCATTCAATGGTCAGACAGTGGTTAGAGAAAAGAAAAAAAATGACAAAGTACATTCGAAGAAGACTTGAAGGTCTTTACTCTGCGTTTTTGTTTCTGGCGACATTTGAAGGAGTTTGGGGGATAATGTAACCAATGATGTTCCAGTACCTGATTGTGGGTGAAACTGAATAGTCTATTGAGTGGATTTGGTTTCTTTTTCTCGAATACACAAATTTTCTTGAGTGAAGAAACTGTGAGTATCAGCAGGCCGAAAGAACCACCAATTTCCATTTTTATCTCCTTGAGTGTTGCCCATTGTTTTCCTAAAATTCAATTCTCTCATTCTGGACACTGTTAGTTGCGTAGGGCGAGCCAGAAGGAGGTACCGCTTCACAATTTTGGTTAATAATCAGGTGAAGTTAGTTTCTCTTCGTACAAAAACAACACTTTCCGCTCTTGGGTAGCCTCAAATAAATAAATGAGTGTTTTTTCTTCACGTTCACATCCGAAACGTTTGAGGACTTGCTTGAGAAGCGACATACGCAACGTGAAATTTGATATCTTTCCAGGGGTGCAGAAGCCAAGGAGAAGATCGACGCCGATTACGGTGGGATCACAGGATTATGTGAACGGCTAAAAACTGATCCGAACAATGGTATCCCAAATACGACCACTGAGTTGGAACGACGACGAGCAGTATTCGGCGCCAACGAAATTCCACCTCATCCGCCTAAGTGCTTTCTCCAATTGGTGTGGGAAGCATTGCAGGTTCGGAAATTATTCGTTTAGTGTTTACTTTTTGCTGAAGGGATTTTGGCCAGGATTGAATTTTAAACACCTTGTGATTAGCTCAAAGATGGAGCTCAAAGAATTATGTTGGTCATAAAATTAGTACAGGATCGCTGTCGTATTCGTCAGGGAGTACTAGTGTGTTGTTGTCTTGCAAACGTCCGCTGTGTTGTCATAAGAAAAGTGGGGTTGTGATTGAAGACAATGATCGAGCGATGTTGTGTGGATTCAGAGAGAGGAAAGGTGTCCAGAAAAAATCTCATGCGATAAGCGCAAGCCATCTGAAGAATTTTATTCGTTAAAAAAGGTTATGTCGTCCTGAAGAGCATTTCAAACCAATCAAAATACTCCTCTTACTCTTCTGATGGATATGAAATTATTCTATGCCTTAATACGGAAAGCGTGAATACGGGAGTGTGCTGGTCACGTCGTGATCTTTTTTATGTTCTACTTTTGTTAGGTTTTTCAATGAAATTTCCTAATTTTTATTTTGATATTATATTTTTTTATTTTTTGATGAATTTTTATTTCATTTGGTCCAGGTGCCCTAGAATTTCATGTAAAAGTCCGCTCAAAGGTAAGCCTGTTCTTGACAAAGTGACCGCTACTTCTAGCCGCAATGTAGCGTTTAGAAATGTCTTGGTACATTTAGAGGCGCTCATCGCGAGTCAGGGGGCATTCGTGATGTCACTCTACCCCCCACACCTTGTCTGAGAACTGGCTCAACTCCCCCTGGCTCAACGGGGGTCGCCGCTACTCGAGAATTTATGCCTGTGTGCCAGAGGCGTGTAAAGAGCAGTCTAAAAGGGGTGTGGGGTCGCAGGCACAAGCCACTTTGACGCAACTCCACTCATACTGAGGATGAGCGCCCATTTTAGAAATGTATTGTCCTACTAGCTTTTCAAAAGTCTCCTTGAGTGTTCTGAGAGAAATGTTCACCAAAAATCGCTAGGAAACCATTATCGAGCTGAAAAGGCTGGGAGTGCTGAAATACGTGCGTTTTTCTGCGAATGTGAAAGCGGACGTTTCTAAGGAGTTTGGGGGTAATATTCTTCATGTTACCAATTCAAGCGTTCTGACATTCAGTAACGGACAGCTTTAGCTGTCTTTATATCGCATTTAACATATGGTGCTACTCAAATTTGATTTGTTTTATACCTTTGTTAATCAAATTATTTAAATTTGACGTAGGATTCTATAGAGGTTATCCCTATTTCTTCAAATTTTTGGAATTGCAGTTAAACTGATTACTCTCGCATATTGTGGAGAACTGCTCTCACACAGGTTCTATTCGTATCCACATTGTTTTCGTACACATGTAAATTATCTATGGTTTACGTTAGCGACTCGTATGCATATGTTTTTGCATGAAATATGGGGTGCTTCGAAGGATCAGTCAAGCGTTTAGCTTTTGGAGCTAAATTGAAGCTGTATTTGAGGGGTTGTATGCGATTCATGGCTAAACCCGATAGATTTCTGCTTTTTTCCTTCGTGGATTTGGTAGGTGCTTTACAGTGGAATTTGATTCATGTATATAGTTGTTAATGCGCTAATTATGCCTAAATTGTGTGCACTGAGACATATTAATATGCGTATGATTTTTTGTGCAGAAGTTGGTGACTCGAAGTCGGAGCATTGAGCGCTCTGCCCACGCAATACATTCCCTGAGGGCCGCTTTGTTGAGCGCACGGATAGGAGGCGGAGAAGAAAGAGGAGGAAGCAGGCGAGAGTGGTGTGCATGCGAGTAACTCACTGCTTCGGAACCGCAAAGTCGCCGAGAATGAATTCTTAGAAGGGATCAGCTCAAACTAAATATGAGACTTTGGTGACTGTCTCTGGATTGCTGCACATCGCGAACAAACTAATTGCTAGACGACACTCGTTGGCTTCAACTGAGAAGTAAGGATTTCATCGTAGGTATTATATTTTGCGAGTTCAAATATCACTGATGAGCAGATTTTCATGAGACATTTTAAGCTTCTAGAATATCATCGTCGTTTGATGTGTTTTTCTCCGAATAATGCGGTCGTAGGCTTCCGCGGCAGTCGTCTGCCAGTCTAATCAAAGTTAATAATCTCAGGTCGGGAGTTCCACTAGCCTTGGAGAGTTGCTATGGAGAAAGGCGCGAGTGTCTGATATCCAGTCAGTGTGAGTGTGAACAGTGACGTCTGAAAAGGCCCATGGGCATGCCAAAGTTACCCAGTCCTTGCTTTGTGCAGAAACTTTTTTTTAATAGATTCAGCTATTGAAATGATTATTCATGGCTACAATTTGTTATTGGATCCGCTGCAGTTCATTTTAGGTGGATTTTGGCTGGGAGACCTTTTTTGGAGTCTCGGCGGAGGCAAGCAAATCGAATGGCTGCGGTGGTCGGCCTCAGTTGGCGCAGCAGCTGAACAACATTGCGGCGAATAATGACTGATAGGAGCTTGTAGTGAGACTGAGAGCGGTTTTGAAAAACGGGTAGCTGCGCTCGTTATGTTTTCTTGTTGTGCTGTGAAGCTCCAACTACAATGGGACATTTCTTGCAAGGGGGGTCTTTCAAGCCAAGCCGCGCTTTTTCAAAACGGTTTCGCATATTGTAGGGACGCATGTATGGACCACAAAACCATGTTTCGTTTTCGCTGAACGGTTTTAGTAGTACCAAAAAAGTGGTGAATATACTCTTGATGGTTCGATCCCCCGCGGCGACTAAATTTTGCAATCAAGGTTGGCGGCCACTTGTTGGCTTCAAAATGGTCCTGACGATGAATTTGACATCTGATTTTGACATTTAGCGCGATTTGGCACCAAACCGTAGGCGCCAACCCAAATGCAAAATTTAGTCGCCACGGGGGATCGAACCATTAACAGTACCTTATGCTTCTTTTTTGGTACTGCTAAAACCGTTCAGCGAAAATGAAACATGGTTTTGTGTTCCCTACATGCGTCCCTACAATATGCAAGAAACCGTTTTGAAAAAGCGTGGCTTGTCCTGAAAAACCCCCTTTGTTAGTTAAAGGCTAGTCTGTTCTTTCATTTCGGATGATCGGGTGAAAAAAAATTGCCACACTTCGCAGTGGCTCGAAAGGGAGAACTGTGACTTGCAAAAGTTTGGGTATAATTTTGGTAAATTTGGGGAAGGTTCTGGCAACAATCCGAATATTTGGCTGTTATGTTTGAAGTACACAACGTTTGAATGACATTTGTTCGGAACTGTGTCCGATTACTTGCCATAATTAAGGTAAAATAGAATTTTTTCCTTCTTTTCCTTCTATATCATACTTAGGGATGAAAATGGTGTAGTGGCAAGTGGCACGCTTACCACGCGCGGTCCGGGGATCAAATCCTGGGTCGTGAGTCGCCCGGGCCAACCAAGCCTTCCATCCCTCCGGGGTCGGTTAATTGGTACCAGACTTGTCTGGGAGGATAAAAACACTGACTTGTACATCGGCTGGCCCCCGCAAGTCATTGTATAGGCCACATCGCATTCAAACGCCACTACGAATGTACAAATGGAAGTAGAATGCGTGCCGCATCCCAAAAAGGGATTGATCAACGGCAAATGCTTTATCCTTTTTTTTATCATGAATCCTAATTTGGAGTAAAAACCGGAATCCTGCTATGAGTTCGGCTGTTTGTGTGGGATAAATGATTATCGTTCAGGATCATGGCGAATAGGATGGTAATGGGTTGTCCGCGGAAGCAATTCGATAACATACAGAGGATGGGTGCCATCAGTCCTCGGTTTTTCTTAAAACTGCCAGCTGTTGAGTGATTAAACGGAGGAACTTGCGCTATCGTCTTACTTCGCCTCGTTAGTCTGGAGAAGCTCATACAAGCTGAAAAGTTCCCTCTTGTTCAGAAGATAGCACAGTTGTGGACAATTAGGGTCGGCAGCCACAGTTGTGTTGACGTTTTGTCAAACAATTAGGTTGTGCGAGGGGGAGCGTTGGCGTTAATGGAAGGCAGTCAAGCATAAGAGCGGTTATTTGCATGCATGCGTCGAGATTTCGAGGAACAAAGTCGTTCAACTTATTACATATCTGCGCTGCTTGCGTTGATTTTCGTCATTGATCGAGTAGATGTCAGTAATAGGTTTGTTACCCGAATATTTAATGAAGTAGGTTAGCGGTTGTTCGTAATTCGTCAGGAGAAGCTGTCAACGTGTGTCTTCAAAGAGCCCTGTTTCAGCTCAAAGTGACTGTAATTACTAAAAACAGAATCCGTTATGGTTTGTAACAGGGTTCTTCCTTCAGCTTGAAACTGGACTTCTAGATAAGATGAAATCGTCTGATGCCTCCAACGACTTGTGGACTAGGCTGAACTTTATTTTTGGAGCATTATCTACCCAGCGAGTTGTTGGGATGGTCGGAAAAGTAGAAATTGGTGGGCAAAGATTTTTTGAGCGCAACGTGTGGCGAGCTCTACGGGCCAACATCAAAAGCCGTTGGTCCTCATCACTTGACCACAGATTAGCTCTTTCTGGTACCTTTCGTCGATGTGCTGGGCACCTATCAGAACTATGACAGGCTCATCGGGCTTATAAAAGCTTGACGGGCACCTACGCGGAAGGCTATCATAGATCGGTGTCAAATTTGCGAATCCAGCGAATGGCGTGTACGTGCAATGCGATAGCACTTCGAGGGGACTGCGAACCGCTGGTGCACCCGCTCAAAGGCTGGCGTATCGCTGAGTTTGCGCTACACGTAGTTTGACCCCTTTGTGGATTTTCTTTTTTGGAAAGGGAGAGTGTAAGTGGTGAGATTTCGTCGACCGATGTCACAAGATCATTTAGCCGCATCATTCAGGTGGCTGATTAACACGTGACGACATGCCCTTGTGGCGAACCTAACCTCACTTATTTACAAATTTGCATTAACAGTTACTACATTACCAATAATTTCATTAGTGGTAACGAGAGAACTATTTTTCGTATCCAACAGTAGGAAGGGCCAGTCTTGAATCAAGCAATGGAGGCACAATTTAGGAAAAACAAGTCTCTTCCGTGTGAGAGTGCG